CAGATGTAGTGCACTCGAACGCCACACACTATAGGGATCTACAGATGCAGTGCACTCGAACGCCACACACTATAGGGATCTACAGATATAGTGCACTCGAACGCCACACACTATAGGGATCTACAGATGTAGTGCACTCGAACGCCACACACTATAGGGATCTACAGATGTAGTGCACTCGAACGCCACACACTAGAGGGATCTACAGATATAGTGCACTCGAACGCCACACACTAGAGGGATCTACAGATATAGTGCACTCGAACGCCACACACTAGAGGGATCTACAGATGTAGTGCACTCGAACGCCACACACTATAGGGATCTACAGATGTAGTGCACTCGAACGCCACACACTATAGGGATCTACAGATGTAGTGCACTCGAACGCCACACACTATAGGGATCTACAGATGTAGTGCACTCGAACGCCACACACTATAGGGATCTACAGATGTAGTGCACTCGAACGCCACACACTATAGGGATCTACAGATGTAGTGCACTCGAACGCCACACACTATAGGGATCTACAGATGTAGTGCACTCGAACGCCACACACTATAGGGATCTACAGATGTAGTGCACTCGAACGCCACACACTATAGGGATCTACAGATGTAGTGCACTCGAACGCCACACACTATAGGGATCTACAGATGTAGTGCACTCGAACGCCACACACTATAGGGATCTACAGATGTAGTGCACTCGAACGCCACACACTATAGGGATCTACAGATGTAGTGCACTCGAACGCCACACACTATAGGGATCTACAGATGTAGTGCACTCGAACGCCACACACTATAGGGATCTACAGATGTAGTGCACTCGAACGCCACACACTATTGGGATCTACAGATGTAGTGCACTCGAACGCCACACACTATAGGGATCTACAGATGTAGTGCACTCGAACGCCACACACTAGAGGGATCTACAGATGTAGTGCACTCGAACGCCACACACTATAGGGATCTACAGATGTAGTGCACTCGAACGCCACACACTATAGGGATCTACAGATGTAGTGCACTCGAACGCCACACACTATAGGGATCTACAGATGTAGTGCACTCGAACGCCACACACTATAGGGATCTACAGATGTAGTGCACTCGAACGCCACACACTATAGGGATCTACAGATGTAGTGCACTCGAACGCCACACACTATAGGGATCTACAGATGTAGTGCACTCGAACGCCACACACTATAGGGATCTACAGATGCAGTGCACTCGAACGCCACACACTATAGGGCTCTACAGATGTAGTGCACTCGAACGCCACACACTATAGGGATCTACAGATGTAGTGCACTCGAACGCTACACACTATAGGGATCTACAGATGCAGTGCACTCGAACGCCACACACTATAGGGATCTACAGATGTAGTGCACTCGAACGCCACACACTATAGGGCTCTACAGATGTAGTGCACTCGAACGCCACACACTATAGGGATCTACAGATGTAGTGCACTCGAACGCCACACACTAGAGGGATCTACAGATGCAGTGCACTCGAACGCCACACACTATAGGGATCTACAGATGTAGTGCACTCGAACGCCACACACTATAGGGATCTACAGATGCAGTGCACTCGAACGCCACACACTATAGGGATCTACAGATATAGTGCACTCGAACGCCACACACTATAGGGATCTACAGATGTAGTGCACTCGAACGCCACACACTATAGGGATCTACAGATGTAGTGCACTCGAACGCCACACACTATAGGGATCTACAGATGTAGTGCACTCGAACGCCACACACTATAGGGCTCTACAGATGTAGTGCACTCGAACGCCACACACTATAGGGATCTACAGATGTAGTGCACTCGAACGCCACACACTATAGGGATCTACAGATGCAGTGCACTCGAACGCCACACACTATAGGGATCTACAGATGTAGTGCACTCGAACGCCACACACTATAGGGATCTACAGATGCAGTGCACTCGAACGCCACACACTATAGGGATCTACAGATGTAGTGCACTCGAACGCCACACACTATAGGGATCTACAGATGTAGTGCACTCGAACGCCACACACTATAGGGATCTACAGATGCAGTGCACTCGAACGCCACACACTATAGGGATCTACAGATGTAGTGCACTCGAACGCCACACACTATAGGGATCTACAGATGTAGTGCACTCGAACGCCACACACTATAGGGATCTACAGATGTAGTGCACTCGAACGCCACACACTATAGGGATCTACAGATGTAGTGCACTCGAACGCCACACACTAGAGGGATCTACAGATGTAGTGCACTCGAACGCCACACACTATAGGGATCTACAGATGTAGTGCACTCGAACGCCACACACTAGAGGGATCTACAGATGCAGTGCACTCGAACGCCACACACTATAGGGATCTACAGATGTAGTGCACTCGAACGCCACACACTATAGGGATCTACAGATGTAGTGCACTCGAAGGCCACACACTATAGGGATCTACAGATGCAGTGCACTCGAACGCCACACACTATAGGGATCTACAGATGCAGTGCACTCGAACGCCACACACTATAGGGATCTACAGATGCAGTGCACTCGAACGCCACACACTATAGGGATCTACAGATATAGTGCACTCGAACGCCACACACTAGAGGGATCTACAGATATAGTGCACTCGAACGCCACACACTATAGGGATCTACAGATATAGTGCACTCGAACGCCACACACTATAGGGATCTACAGATGTAGTGCACTCGAACGCCACACACTAGAGGGATCTACAGATGCAGTGCACTCGAACGCCACACACTATAGGGATCTACAGATGTAGTGCACTCGAACGCCACACACTAGAGGGATCTACAGATGTAGTGCACTCGAACGCCACACACTATAGGGATCTACAGATGTAGTGCACTCGAACGCCACACACTATAGGGATCTACAGATGTAGTGCACTCGAACGCCACACACTAGAGGGATCTACAGATGCAGTGCACTCGAACGCCACACACTATAGGGATCTACAGATATAGTGCACTCGAACGCCACACACTAGAGGGATCTACAGATATAGTGCACTCGAACGCCACACACTAGAGGGATCTACAGATGTAGTGCACTCGAACGCCACACACTAGAGGGATCTACAGATGCAGTGCACTCGAACGCCACACACTATAGGGATCTACAGATGTAGTGCACTCGAACGCCACACACTATAGGGATCTACAGATGTAGTGCACTCGAACGCCACACACTATAGGGATCTACAGATGTAGTGCACTCGAACGCCACACACTAGAGGGATCTACAGATGTAGTGCACTCGAACGCCACACACTATAGGGATCTACAGATGTAGTGCACTCGAACGCCACACACTATAGGGATCTACAGATGTAGTGCACTCGAACGCCACACACTATAGGGATCTACAGATGCAGTGCACTCGAACGCCACACACTATAGGGCTCTACAGATGCAGTGCACTCGAACGCCACACACTATAGGGATCTACAGATGTAGTGCACTCGAACGCCACACACTATAGGGATCTACAGATGTAGTGCACTCGAACGCCACACACTATAGGGATCTACAGATGTAGTGCACTCGAACGCCACACACTATAGGGATCTACAGATGTAGTGCACTCGAACGCCACACACTATAGGGATCTACAGATGCAGTGCACTCGAACGCCACACACTATAGGGATCTACAGATGTAGTGCACTCGAACGCCACACACTATAGGGATCTACAGATGTAGTGCACTCGAACGCCACACACTATAGGGATCTACAGATATAGTGCACTCGAACGCCACACACTATAGGGATCTACAGATGTAGTGCACTCGAACGCCACACACTATAGGGATCTACAGATGTAGTGCACTCGAACGCCACACACTATAGGGATCTACAGATGCAGTGCACTCGAACGCCACACACTATTGGGATCTACAGATGTAGTGCACTCGAACGCCACACACTATAGGGATCTACAGATGTAGTGCACTCGAACGCCACACACTATAGGGATCTACAGATGTAGTGCACTCGAACGCCACACACTAGAGGGATCTACAGATGTAGTGCACTCGAAATCCACACACTATAGGGATCTACAGATGTAGTGCACTCGAACGCCACACACTATAGGGATCTACAGATGTAGTGCACTCGAAATCCACACACTATAGGATCTACAGATGTAGTGCACTCGAACGCCACACACTATAGGGATCTACAGATGTAGTGCACTCGAACGCCACACACTAGAGGGATCTACAGATGTAGTGCACTCGAAATCCACACACTATAGGGATCTACAGATGTAGTGCACTCGAACGCCACACACTATAGGGATCTACAGATGTAGTGCACTCGAACGCCACACACTATAGGGATCTACAGATGTAGTGCACTCGAACGCCACACACTATAGGGATCTACAGATGTAGTGCACTCGAACGCCACACACTAGAGGGATCTACAGATGTAGTGCACTCGAAATCCACACACTATAGGGATCTACAGATGTAGTGCACTCGAACGCCACACACTATAGGGATCTACAGATGCAGTGCACTCGAAATCCACACACTATAGGGATCTACAGATGTAGTGCACTCGAACGCCACACACTATAGGGATCTACAGATGTAGTGCACTCGAACGCCACACACTATAAGGATGAGTGAGCGAGCGAGTCAGCGAGTGAGTGAGTGAGCGGTGTCGGACACAGCTAGACTGTCTCTATGAGAGTGAAGCAGGGGATTCTGGGATATCATGCAGTCCTGCGAGATCCTCTGCTAGATGAGATGAGATGACACACTCTCTCTGAGGAACGTCTCTGTGTGTTTTCCTCCAAGTCTTCAAGCCATGCTTTATAACATTATATTGCAGCGTTCGCCTTTAATCTGCCCAGTAATATTTCTAAACCTTCGACATGTATTTTATGAATTCCGTAATAATCTTTTTCAGGATCTCGCGCTGAACTGCAGAATGCGGTCCTGGAGACCCAGATGTGCTTGGAAGCGTTCCCGCTCTGTTCTTGTGTCTTTATCTCCCTTTACTCCTTTCCTGAGCGCTTGAACCTCAAAGCGTTCTTCAAAACTGTAACGTTTAATTACCTTGAAATGACATTTAAATAATTCCCAGGCCCATCTGCATCTCTGGCTCCGCTAGCTTGAAGACGGCCTCGACTTCGCTGCGTTACATCTGCTTTCCATTCCATTGTTTACCAGTGAATTAAAAAGAAATTCCAATTTACTTAGAAAATGGGAGTTCTGTACTTGTTAAACTCCCGTAGACGCAGACCAATATGTTTCTGTTTAATGAGCCTGAGGTTGGAACACACTAATAAATTAAAGGCAATTAAAGGCGTTGGATTTATCACAGAAGGATCCAGGCCGCGCGGCTTTGAACGCCTCTTTTATGGACATACAGTGATTTTACGCGGTGTTAACCCTTCGCTGTGTTAACCCTTCGCTGTGTTAACCCTTCGCTGTGTTAACCCTTCGCTGTGTTAACCCTTCGCTGTGTTAACCCTTCGCTGTGTTAACCCTTCGCTGTGTTAACCCTTCGCTGTGTTAACCCTTCGCTGTGTTAACCCTTCGCTGTGTTAACCCTTCGCTGTGTTAATCCTTCGCTGTGTTAACCCTTCGCTGTGTTAACCCTTCGCTGTGTTCACCCTTCGCTGTGTTAACCCTTCGCTGTGTTAACCCTTCGCTGTGTTAATCCTTCGCTGTGTTAATCCTTCGCTGTGTTAATCCTTCGCTGTGTTAACCCTTCGCTGTGTTAACCCTTCGCTGTGTTAACCCTTCGCTGTGTTAACTCTTCGCTGTGTTAACTCTTCGCTGTGTTCACCCTTCGCTGTGTTAACCCTTCGCTGTGTTAACCCTTCGCTGTGTTAACCCTTCGCTGTGTTAACCCTTCGCTGTGTTAACCCTTCGCTGTGTTAACCCTTCGCTGTGTTAACTCTTCGCTAATCCTTCGCTGTGTTCACCCTTCGCTGTGTTAATCCTTCGCTGTGTTAATCCTTCGCTGTGTTAATCCTTCGCTGTGTTAACCCTTCGCTGTGTTCACCCTTTGCTGTGTTCACCCTTCGCTAACCCTTCGCTAACCCTTCGCTGTGTTAACCCTTCGCTAACCCTTCGCTGTGTTTACCCTTCGCTGTGTTCACCCTTCGCTAACCCTTCGCTGTGTTCACCCTTCGCTAACCCTTCGCTGTGTTAATCCTTCGCTAACCCTTCGCTAACCCTTCGCTAACCCTTCGCTGTGTCAATCCTTCGCTAACCCTTCGCTAACCCTTCGCTGTGTTCACCCTTCGCTGTGTTCACCCTTCGCTAACCCTTCGCTGTGTTCACCCTATACTAACCCTTCGCTGTGTTCACCCTTCACTAACCCTTCGCTGTGTTCACCCTATACTAACCCTTCGCTGTGTTCACCCTTCACTAACCCTTCGCTGTGTTCACCCTATACTAACCCTTCGCTGTGTTCACCCTTCACTAACCCTTCGCTGTGTTCACCCTTCACTAACCCTTCGCTGTGTTCACCCTTCACTAACCCTTCACTGTGTTCACCCTTCGCTGTGTTCACCCTTCGCTGTGTTCACCCTTCGCTAACCCTTCGCTGTGTTCACCCTATACTAACCCTTCGCTGTGTTCACCCTTCACTAACCCTTCGCTGTGTTCACCCTATACTAACCCTTCGCTGTGTTCACCCTTCACTAACCCTTCGCTGTGTTCACCCTTCACTAACCCTTCGCTGTGTTCACCCTTCGCTAACCCTTCACTGTGTTCACCCTTCACTAACCCTTCGCTGTGTTCACCCTTCACTAACCCTTCACTGTGTTCACCCTTCACTGTGTTCACCCTTCACTAACCCTTCACTGTGTTCACCCTTTGCTAACCCTTCACTGTGTTCACCCTTCACTAACCCTTCGCTGTGTTCACCCTTCACTAACCCTTCACTGTGTTCACCCTTCGCTAACCTTTCGCTGTGTTCACCCTTCACTAACCCTTCACTGTGTTCACCCTTCACTAACCCTTCACTGTGTTCACCCTTCACTAACCCTTCACTGTGTTCACCCTTCGCTAACCCTTCACTGTGTTCACCCTTCACTAACCCTTCACTGTGTTCACCCTTCACTAACCCTTCACTGTGTTCACCCTTCACTAACCCTTCCCTGTGTTCACCCTTCACTAACCCTTCACTGTGTTCACCCTTCACTAACCCTTCACTGTGTTCACCCTTCACTAACCCTTCACTGTGTTCACCCTTCACTAACCCTTCCCTGTGTTCACCCTTCACTAACCCTTCACTGTGTTCACCCTTCGCTAACCTTTCGCTGTGTTCACCCTTCACTAACCCTTCGCTGTGTTCACCCTTCACTAACCCTTCACTGTGTTCACCCTTCGCTAACCTTTCGCTGTGTTCACCCTTCACTAACCCTTCACTGTGTTCACCCTTCACTAACCCTTCACTGTGTTCACCCTTCACTAACCCTTCACTGTGTTCACCCTTCACTAACCCTTCCCTGTGTTCACCCTTCACTAACCCTTCACTGTGTTCACCCTTCGCTAACCTTTCGCTGTGTTCACCCTTCACTAACCCTTCACTGTGTTCACCCTTCACTAACCCTTCGCTGTGTTCACCCTTCGCTAACCTTTCGCTGTGTTCACCCTTCACTAACCCTTCACTGTGTTCACCCTTCACTAGGGTTGGGTATCGTTTGGGTTTTATCCGATTCCAGTACCTACTCGGTATTTTTTAAACGGTTCCGGTGCTTAAACGGTTCTTAAATCGGTACTTAAGAAAATGAAACCGCACACACTTTATCAAAAAATAATACCCTTTAATTTACAGGGCCAAACTGGACACAATATTAACTTAAATCTTTAAACAATATAAATACAAGTAACATATGGTAATAATAAAACCAATATAAAATAAAAATTCATATTTACATAATATCAAATGAAACAATATTGTATCAAACAATGTAATAATACTGGAGATTAATAGAGATTACTAGCAGGCAGAGCTGCCAACTCTCACGCATTGACCGTGAGACTCACGCAAATGACCCTTTTCACACAGAAAAATCGCGGACAAAGAGGACACTGACAGACAAGACAGAGAAGGTTACTTTTGATATGGAACAAATCCACAGCTGTCAGATTCTGTCAATATTTTTACGAGATTCACACAATAAATAACGTTTTGGCTCTTTGAAATGTGACAGATCGCTGTAGCGCGTCAGTTCA